GAGGAAACAGGAGCTCACCCTGTTTAACGCGAAGGCTGGACTCGAACCGCTGAAGCGTTGACCTCTGGCCGGCAACTTTCAACGTCATTAAGCTGCTGCGCCACCGCGTCCCCCAATACTTACAATATAGACACTTGATTTTTTAAAAAATGATGGAATAAACTAAATAAACTATAAGGAAATATAGAAAGCATGATGCAACACTGCTGCTTCAAGGCCACTGTACTCCTACCTGCACATTGAGATCTTCCCATTCACTTACAAAGGACAGGAAACAACTTATTTTCATCTTTGCAACAAACATCAAGCGCAGAAGCCTCTGTACTGAATCACGTTCTGCCCTGCTTTCTTTCTTAGAACACTCCTTCGTTACCTCCAGGAGCAGCTGCACTCCAAGGATGGCAGAAACTTAGCAACCCAACTCCAGACTGGAGTTGAGCAGGGGCTGAACCCTTGGGTTCCAAAGAATCATTTCAGTTTGTCCCCTTGTGTGATCCAAAAGGTGGAGGGAATGATTATTCATATTGACAGTCTCCTCTGGTAGAGAGGACCCCTAGCTCAAATGGAGTACAGGACTAGGGCCATCCAGTGGACACTCCTCCCCTAGTAACAACAGCCGAGGTATCATTTTTGGCCTGAGTTAGTGTGCAAACCTTAATTTGAGACAGCACACTTGGCACATTGCCAGGGATGAGTGTATTTGGGCTTAGCCAGTAGTGCACATTGCTCTGTCCTGCACTATCTGAGCTAGTCATAGGAAGGTGAGAGAACAGATCTGCTGCTGTCTGGGGCAACTGCCAAGGCCTGGCATTGGGTGCTTGGTCTTTTACTCACCAACCAATGTCCTGAATGAAGTGTTCTACAGACAGGGGACATGATGACAACCTGTCACTCATGCTTGGACAATGACCTGGTGAAACAATCCATCTTCCTTAAGACAAACCTCCTCTTGTTAGATTTCTCTGACCTGCCACATGAGGGAGGTGAAGAGCTAGTCCCCTGCCCCATTCTCCAGAGCACTAGCACTTACTTGCCTACTGCCCAGATACAGCCAACAGTGAGGAGAGCTATTCCTGAGATGCCAATTCAACCAGGTCACACTCTGAGCCAGTCACTTGCTCAGTGAAGCAAGTCCTCATGGGATGAGTCCCTCGATTGTGTTCCTCAAACTACTGAATGAGGCAACACCAGAAGGATTCCACATGTCTCTTTCAGTCCCTGGGTAACACCACTGAGTGAGACTCACATTGGTGTAGATTCCATGTGAGTTTGCTTAGTTCCTGCAACAAGTTGCAGTGGGTTTCATCCACCATCTCTCCCATGGCTCCTCCCCTTCCCTTAAACCCATGGCCATGGCCAATGAGCCTTCATACATGGCCAGTGATTATACTGCTGGGCCCCAATCCCTGAGCCAGCTGGCTCTGAAGCCACATGAAGTACACACACACACATCATGGCGGCAATGTTCTGGCCAACAGCAGACCACACAGTCTAGGCCGAAGGAAGAGAAGATTATCCTTCTTACCTACCATTCATTGCCTGACTGTCTGATGGATAACCTACTTCCATTTTTTGTAAAGGTTCTTGGGGGAAAGCTGGATTTCACGTGGGTGGGTTAATAAGTGTAGCCTTCAAAAGAAAAGCAGGTGAAATGCTGTAGGCATCAGTGTGTCTCTAGGCACACATACGTGTACTACTGTGCTTAAGATCACACAGAAGTCATAGAAATGGAAAAAATACTAGATGTTGGTTTGGTTGCTTTGATGTTTACATGTGCGTGCACTCTGTGCTTCTTCTTGGTTCCAGGTGACACTGAGATTCAGGATGCCTTTGTATGTGCAGCAAGCGTCTTTATCTTTAAAGATACACCGAAAGCGCAGCAGCCAGCAGGACCAAAGAGCAGGGCCAGTGTAACCACACCTTCCTGAACTCTGTGTCACAGTAGTAGTCACGGTGCCTGGTAGACACTATCAAGTAGTAATATTCCTTATATTAAGCACTGGGTTTAGGAGATGTGTAACATATGTTCCTGAAAAGGGAATTTTATCTACTAATAAAAAATGACTCAATATTTTCTTTGGCATAGATTTTATGACATTCTGTAACATTAAGGAATGGTCACTTATTTTCTTTAATATAGATTTAGAAACTTGTTTAATATTTGATGATCGTGTGAGACACACACACACACACACACACCCCTACATCAACAAGAAGGGGGAAATGATAGATAGATAGTTTCCCCCTTCCTGTTGTTGCAGAGGTTTTTTTGGTTTGGTTTTGTTGTTTGTTGTTTTTCATGTATTTCTTTAAAAAAAAATTGTATTTCTTTCTGTAAAATTTGTTAAGATAGATAAGCCCATTTTCAAAATGCTCTTGTGCACAGCTGATGTAATCCATGGTGCATTTTGTTACAAAGGTATGTTTGAACTTGTTGGTTTCAACCTGTTTGCTGCAGTTGCTACAAATGAAGAGTTGTTTTGTTGATCAAGGTGTGTGCAGGACTCATAAGCAATTTTTTGTTCTGAGTATTATACATGTAACCCTAATCCTAATGTGCATTCAGTGTGCATTTCGGATGTAAATACAGGTAGTAAGGCAGGGAACAATTGTTTGTGTTTCCTAGGAGAGTCCCTCTTCTGGGTAACGGTTCTGTTTTTCACTAATGCTCATTCTAATAGACAGAAACTGCATTTTTATAGCAAGTCAGAAACAAAAAAGGATAAATCTGCAGGTGAACCTTTAAATACTGGGGTGCAGAGAAACAGTTCATGCTCCTGACTGTCTACAAAGTTAGGGTTAGATATATAGATTTGGAAGATGAGTTTTATTTTAAAACATTTTAAAGTAATTCCAATGGACTATATGAAATTAATCTAACATATTCTGTCAGGATGTCCTCCTACCCCACAGAAAGTAATTGACTGAAAGGTTTGTTTGCTGTGAGAGATTAAACACAGGCAGAGAGTTTGTCCCACCTTTCTTTGCTTAGAACAGTGTTTCTCAACTTTGGCAACTTAAAGATATATGGATTTCAACTCCATACAAGTCCATACATTTTCAAGCTGCCAAGGTTGAGAAACACTGCCTTAGAATATCTCTACATACTTCCAGGACAAATGGTTGTGCTAAGTTCAGGGAAGGGGGACGCGGTGGCGCAGCGGCTTAATGACGCTGAAAGTGGCTGGCCAGAAATGGTCGATGCTTCAGCGGTTCGAGTCCAGCCTCCGCGTTAACAGGATGAGCTCCTGTTTCCTCCCCAGTTCCTGTCAACCCAACAGTTTGAA